AACTGGCGCTCCGTTTGAGTTCCAGATGTTCTATCTCATTCCAGCCGGTCGGAGTAATTTCGATACCAATATCATTCTAAATTTTCCATGACTGATTTTTAATTTTTATTTTGTAATCTTATCATGCATATTTAAGTAATATATTCTAATAAAAAAACCTATTTAATAGATGTCTTTTGAAGACTTGTTGTATGATTGGTTACCAAAAGAATAAAAAATTTAAGCGGTTCGTAATTAATACGAAGAATCGAATTTTTATTACGATAATTATCACAAAATAATTTTCGAAATTGCTACCACTTTATTTATATAGAAAGTCATTCTATTAAATGAGTTGCATGATTTACAATAGGTAGGTATAATTTGATTTTTATTTTCTTATGTATAGATATTAAAGTGATTTTTGTTATATTTCCTTTAATAGTAAGTTAACTTATTTAGTTACAGAATCAAGTTACTATTTTTAGATTATTCCATCAACTTCTTTCAATATATATAGATTTGAATATAATTTAAATTCAAACTCAAAATTTCACTCAAACCGAATTCAATCAACTTTTTTTTCAAAATTAACTCACTTTATCCGATAAATCTAATCCAATTCTAAATAACTTATATCCAATCATGCCTAAGTCTTCTTCCTTCTCTTAGAAACAAGCGAGCGAAAGTTTGAGAGCAAACGATTTGATAGTCAGCCAACCAAAAAGAAAGAAGGTCTCGACCAGACACAACAAACCCTACGGCGTCCTTCCTTCTCAATGCCCGGTCAACAGCCGAGTCGGGACCTAATCCTCGATGACGCTCCAATGAAATCGTCTCTAAGCCTATAAAAAAATTAATGGTATGGCATACATCATGTAGTTTAATTTCTGTTGCACATAGACGTGTATTCGTAGATTTCGAATGAGTACTTAGAATCTGACGTTTTTCGCCGGAGCCTACAATTTTGAAAAAGAACGTTTAACTTAATAAATAATTTTAAAAAAAATATATATATATTTATAATTTATGAGGGAAACTTTAAGATGTATAAAATTTGAATAAAAATATCTATTTTTTTATCCTTAAAATTATACATACAAAAAATTACACGAAGGCCCGCGGACACATGAACCGGGTGCTGAGTCTATTCCGGTTGGTGTTAGAAAACACCGGAAAGAGGTAAAATTTGGATAAGGTGAATGCGACATTTTCACTAGTTTCAGTGGTTGTAGCAGTACGCTCGCGAGCAGTATGAGAAGTTGTATTCTATAATTTGTAGGTATGTGTTGTTGTTTCTCTTTCGTGTTGTTTATGTGTGCTTGTTTTGTATATGGTTGTTTTTCTCCTTTTTGGGTGTGTTAGTCTCTTTTGTATAGTTTGTTTAGTCTCATTTATGGTT